GGTGTATCAATTTTGCCACTAAACTTTTAAATATATCTATTTTTTGGCACTTTACTTTTTTAGCAGCCACCGACAATCGATCAATGTCCATCACTGATCGTCTTGCCAAGAATGGTACCAAAACGTTCGCATTTCACTCACACTTATTTTCCTAGGATTGGTTTTCCATGAAATTAACTCAAAATCAATAAAAATCCATTTAAATGTTAGACGTGCTAATACTCTGATCTCTTCTGATGATTGTCATATGAGGCTAGTTTTGATGTATGTTGTTCATCTTCTCGAAATAATGCTTTCTCACTATTCATATTTTTTTAAACAAATACCCCGAATCCCTCAAATGTAAGAAAATCTCCAAACCCCTAAAATTGCTTGATTTAATTTTATCGATTTTGAGTGAGTTTCGTGGAAAATCATTCATAAGAGAAGAAAAAGGAGAGAAATGAAAATGTTTTGATACCGATCTTGTCGTGAAAAAGACTTATGACAGGTAGTGATTGGCTGCATGCAGCGGCCGAAAAAGTGTAGTGCAAAAAATAGAACCGTTTAAAAGTTTAGTGACAAAATCGATACACACCTAAAGTTCAGTGCCTAAAATAATTTCATTTTAGGCATCAATACTCACACCAAAATGATGTCATTTTATCCATGTCATCATATCTTTTAGATTTAACAACTTAGTTGCATAAATTGAAGTTAAAAAAAAAAGTTCAGTACATAATTTGAGAAAATTGAAAGTTTACTTGTATAAATAATATGTCACCTAAAGTTTAATGATATCTATTTTAGTTTATCCATTTTAATAGAAATATTTATTTTAATAATAAATATAATTTTAATTAAGATAATATACATAAAAAAGCAGGAAAGAAATAGTTCATGTACAAAAATATATTTGTAAAGTTTTTTTTTACAATAAATGACAATATTATAATATTATATTATTTTTAACTGTAACTGATTTGAGTATTAGGTGAATATTTGAACGTGGCCATGATTTAGGTTTGTCAGGTTACGTAATTGATTTGGGTTTATGTTTTTAATTCCGTTTTGTATTTGTATATTATGATATTTAGATACTATAATATAATTATTTAAAAATATAATTATAAAAAACAATTAATTATATATGTTTAACTAATAAAATTTAATTATTCCTTTTATATTGTTTTTATCATTTGATTGTAAAATTATAATTATATAAATTTAAAATTTAAAATAACAATAATTATAAAATTTAAAATATGATTATAATTTTAATACTGCCTAAAAGTTGAAAAGTATAACCAGGGATATCCGGTTAAGTTGAAGCGTAATTAGAATGAGTTATTATAATGTTTTGATTCTTATGTTTATTTCTAAAGGAAAATAATATAATATAATATAATATAATATAATATAATATAATATAATATAATATAATATAATATAATATAATATAATAATATAATATAATATAATATAATATAATATAATATAATATCAGTGCGGTAACTATAAAACATATCAGTTAATATAATATAATATCAGTGCAGGAAACACAGTACATATATATTAAAAATAAATGACAATTTTTGTTATAGAACGTAATAGATTTTAACACATAGTTATTTTAAAAATAAAAATACAAAATACAAAATAGCTTTATTATGTAATTCACTTATTTATAAAAATGATTTTCTTTGTATGTTGTGTAAGATATTGTTACTAAACCGTTTATATTAAATTCAATTATGGACATTAAAATAATATAAACAACATAATTACAATATGTGATTCACTATGATAATTTAAACTTATCAACACAATAAATAATATTTTATATTTGTTAACATAATTATTCACCCAGAAGTACTTCAATTATTGAATTCATTACGTGATTCCTATAGTAAAAGAGAAGATTATTCTCTCCATAAGTCTTGGATTCGAGTAATTACGTTTGTAAGATGTATGTACATTATCAATAAGTTAAAAATATTATGAATATATAATACATTGTAATCATCCCACACTATTATAAAAACACTTCAATTATTATTTAGTAATCCAAGTTATAAATTCTAAAAGATCAGGGAATGCTAAAGGTAGATCATTCGAGATTTGCGAGCATTTTAATTTTCAAAGGAAGATAAGAATTCAAGCCGCCACGAGCGTACAGCTCCTTATCTTCTGCTAAACTAGTATTATTCTAATACAACACAGTGCCTCTGTGCCTGTGAGGCTGCTAAAACCAAAATGCATAACGCCCAGCATTTTAATTTTCCAAGTTCTAAGCCATGAGAAAAAGGCTCATGTCCTTCAATGCCAGAACATTATATATGTGCACTGCTAGGTATTATGGACTATGCCCCCATCATATCTTCATTCTCTGCAATATTTTAAGTTTTTTTTTTCTTTTCAGAGTTTGAGAGTAGAGAAAACAATGGGTTCAATCCAAAACACTTGTTCAACTCTTAGCTCCGATGAGGAAGCAATGTTGATGGCCATGCAACTCTCCTTTGCGTCAGCTTTACCCATGATCCTCAAGTCGGCTATAGAGCTCGACCTGCTGGGGATCATCGACAAAGCTGGTCCGGGCGCTTTTCTGACCACGAAAGAAGTGGCTGCCCAGCTCTCCACCACCAACCCTGATGCGCCTCTCATGCTAGACCGCATGTTTCGTGTGCTGTCGAGCTACTCCGTTCTCACTTGCTCCTTGCGCACTCTTCCCGACGGCAAAGTCGAGAGACTCTATGGTCTTGGCCCCGTCTGCAAATTCTTTACCAAGAACGAGGATGGTGGCTCTGTTTCCACCATATCTCTCATAGCTCAAGACAAGGTCTTTATGGACAGCTGGTAACCAATTCTTTCATTTTCCTATCCATTTATTACGTTTTTTATCTGTCGGTTAACATATGTTGGAATGTTTACAGGTTCCACTTGAAAGATGCAGTGTTGGATGGTGGATCTCCATTTAAAAGGGCCAACGGAATGCCTGTATTTGATTACCTCGGCACGGATCATAGACTCAACATGATTTTCAACAAAGGGATGTTCGATTTATCTTGCATTGACATGAAATGGATTCTTGAGAGATATGATGGCTTTGAGGGAGTAAAAACACTGGTCGATGTTGGCGGTGGAACTGGGGTCGCACTTAACATGATCGTCTCCAAGTACCCTAGCATTAAAGGCATTAACTTCGATTTGCCTCATGTTATCGAGAACGCTCCAACTATCCCTGGTACGATATCTTCAGTTTTTTCCAAGTATTTTAAAAACCAACAGATAAATAAACATGTTTTTTAAAATGATATTTGGTTATAGGTGTGGAACATGTTGGTGGAGACATGTTTGTGAGTGTCCCGAAAGGAGATGCGATTTTCATGAAAGTGAGTTGGACTGACATAAAATTAAGAATTCCCTCAACTTGATAAACCATGTATAACTTATGTTGTCGACATGTATGTGTTGGTGGTGCAGGTTCTATGCCACAGTTCCGACGACGAAAACTGCTTGAAAATTTTCAGGAAGTGCTACGAAGCTTTGCCGGACAATGGGAAAGTGATAGTTGTGGAAAACATACTTTCGGAATACCCTGATTCAGGGCTTGTCACAAAGTTTGTCAGCTTATCTGATTCATTCATGCTGGCTTGCAACCTTGGGAAAGAGAGGAGTGAAAAGGAGTTCGAGGCACTGGCAAAGGGTGCCGGATTTCAAGGCTTCCAAGTCAAATGTTCTGTTTATAGCATCTGTGTTATGGAACTTCTCAAAAGCGCTTGAATTTTTTCTCTCTTAGAGATGAATAAAACTCAGACTGAATAATTGTAGAGTTGGATTCCTTAGGTTGAATCCACTTTCTTAATAGTTTGAGGTACTTGTTCAATAATTATTGGTTTTCATTTCATGGCATAAAGATTCACATATTTCTCTCTTCCTAACTCCCCCGTCCCCATTGGATGATATTTTACTCTCATAAAACATTGTTGGAGCTCCTCTAAAAATATTATTGTCTCGACTCGAATTCAAAAGCCTATTAACATCACACACGAAAAATAAAAATAAAAAAACCATTCGAGCATTAAACTTTGTGAAACTCAGTAATGCACATTTGCACTACTATACTACTTGAAGTGGAAAAAATCTAAGCAGGAAATCATAAGTAACAAGCCATTTAATGCATTTATTAGTAAGTCCCATAACAGATGCTATAAAATTAAATTAGAGATGCTATAAAAAAATTAAAAAGTTCCAAACAATAATCAAATATTGTTCATACATTGCTAAAACATTTTATGATTTATTTTTAAAGCCTGTCCATCCTTATTATAACGATGTTATACAATAATAATGATTAGGGATCAAATTGGAACTTTACGAAAATTAAAGAACTAAAGTATAATTATCTAAAAATTAAAAGACTAACTTACAACTTAGTCTAATGTCTACTTTGTAATAAACCATTTTCATCTAGGCCTCCATATTAATACCTGTTTAAAAGGCCCAGAACCCAAATGAAATTAACCTAAAAAAAAACTATTTTTCAAAACACACTCTAATTATTTACTAATAAAATGGAAAAAACTATTTTTCAAAAAATATTTTAAAAACAACAAAGTATTATTGATATGAAAACAATAAAATAAAAAAAAAATCCGGGTTTTAAAATAGACAAACAATTTTATTAGTTTTTTTGTTTGGTATATACAAATTATAAATTTCAAAATATTTAGGATTTGGAAAAGCTTTGTTTTTCATTTTATATATTTTTACTTAATAAATATTTTTTTATCAAATTTTACTTTATAATCAAATAATTAATTGAAAATAGAAAAGAAAAGGCATAATTTGGCGGCTGAGATCTATCCACATCAGCCTATGGAAGCCCCGCAATGACTCTTCCCCGTTGGTCCGAACTTCATCGGCGTCGCTAATGCCATCAGATCAGCAGCACGACAGCCCACAGACAAAAATACATGCTTTCAAATATATATATATATATAAACACCGCCTTCATTTTATCCAAAAAGAAAAGCGACTACTTGTGAAATTTGGGTTGTATCAAAATTATAAACGAAACGAAAGAGGTGAAGAAGTTGGCGGAGATAGTGGTGTATGGCTAGAACCAACAAATATACCTCTATTAATTTCAATCATGTCATCGAGAAGAATCTGACTTCCTCTTCTTCTTCTTCTGGTTCCCACAAGAATACTCATACCAATCACCAAAGCCACTCCTCTTTTGCTTCTTATTCATCCGCCAGCAATGTCAAAACCCATGGTCGCATCCTCGTCCTGACCCGTCCTTCCCCGAAGCCTGTTTCGACTCCTCCCGTCGTGTCCCCAACGCTGCCCAAACAGCCAAAACCTCTTTCTGCTTCTGTCCTGGATCACCCACCGTCTTCTGATCAGATTTCTTTGCGACCCGGTTCTGGGGTTTCGATTTCCGGTCCGGAGAAGAAGGAGAAGGATGCTGTGACCGTTTCTGGGTCTATTAAATCAGGTCGATTTGTCCCGCCTCATCTTAGGCCGGGTTTTGCGGGAAAAGAGGAGAAACCCGAACTCAAAGTCTTGCGAGGGAGAGAACAGGGGTTGAAGCATTTTGGCTCGTTGGCTTTCTCTGGTGAAGATAGGCGTCCCAAATCAGGCGACTACGAGAAGATCAAAAGAGGCGGTTATTCAGATTTGGGGTTGATTCCTCGTCCCAGATCCAGCGGAAACCTCCCTAGTTCTAGTGGATGGTATGTTTGATTTCTCCTTCTGATTTCATTATTCGTTCTGATTTAATTTTGTGATTGTGAACATCGACTTGATCCCTGTACTCCTCTCTAGTTTGAATCAACAATGAAATAAGCAAACAGGGCTGTGTATTCCTTTTATGATTGAAACGGATTGTGTTATTGTTGTTGGTCAAAATTGATTCCTTGGGATTGCATATTAGGGGCTAATTGGAGCATTTTAAAGTCATAAAATACAAACATGGATTGTAAGACGAACATGAATGTTCGAACATTGGGACGATATCGTTGGAGCAGCAGACGTAAACTACAAACATGGATTGTAAATGAATATGAATGATAAAAAGAGAAAAAGAAATATAATAAAGCATTGCTTTATCTTTGGGTATTTGAGTTTCACATATGGTGATTTTCTTATGACTATTTCATTGCAAGTGTGCAACTTCTGGTGCATAAAGTTTTATAGCTTATCTTTGACTTGCTGGCTGAAACAACCAAGAAATTGTTGGAGTTTTTCTAAAGGAAAAGTTTGTTGTCTCCTTTTCCTTTATCATTTGGTCAAACTTGAACATAGAGTATACATCTGAGGATCTACAAACCTCACTCCACTTAAACAATTGAGCTGAACATGCTATAAAGCCTTGTGGTCTAGATGTTTTTGAAATTTATGAGCGGTAGAATGCACAATTGTTTGATGGAGTTGCTAAAAGGTTAGTTCATTTTTTCTTACCAAGAAAAGTGGGAAAGATAGTACGTTACTTTTATATATTTATCATTTATACATTAGTATAATCGTGAGTACGTTTCATTTGTATACATACAGCTTATATGGAAACTGCTGAATGAGGTATTATGTTGCCGAATGTGACCACTAATGGTACTTGGAACTAAAATCCATTTTATTTCATGTTCACCCACTTCGTTTTTACTAATTTGTGGATTTGGCATCCTTCCCATTCTGTTCTGTTGAAAATGTGTTGAACTTGTTCAGGTTTCTGATTTCCTCTTTTTTTCATTAAGCTGTTCGCTGCTGTTCTTTTTGTTTTCCGATTTTCTCCATTTAGACTTTGAATTCAGTTATCGCCTATCTGTTGGTACATGTGGCTGCTGACATTTAACTTTGTTCATATCTTCAAACTGCCAACTAAATGAATGCCGTTTTGCAGAATTGCTCTGAAGACCTTGTAACTTCCTTGAAGGCGTAGATGGATGCTTTATTGTGTGAACGGCTGCCTTCTGTGTCCCTTAGGCGGGCATATTTTGAGTTATTCTAAAACTCAAATGACCGGACCATCATGAGTTGTTCTATTCTAAAATAATGAAAAAGGCTTTGAGGACCAAAACTCCCTTGAGAGCTCAGAAATATAGCCTGATTAGTTCATATGGAGTGTAGAATTCAGTTATGTTTTTTTTTTGTTTAACCACTTAACTGTTGTTATGGAGGAGCTTAAATTTTGCCTCTCTCCTTGTTGTCTTGGATGTACTTTGAAAGATCCTTAAAATGTAAGATTTTCAATTTTTCTTTGCAAAGAGTCTGCTTTTATTTCGAACATCAACGTTCGTGTTGTTTCGACAAACACTAAAGAGAAAAGCTAGTCTCCATGCAAGTTCGACAATGGTGAAGGGCGGCTTATTAGTTAAACCTTGAACCCTAAACCCTAAACATTATTATCTTACAATTGGCTTATCACTTTCATGCAAGTGCATCACCATTCAGATATGGCAATTATATTGTCTTATGCTAATTACCAGTAGACATATAACTTACAAGAAAGAAACTTGGAAGTCCAAACAACCACCACATAATAAACTTAAAAATGCAAACACCATTAGGAAGATAAAACAATGCAGTACCATTAGGGAGAATTCAATATGTCTCCCTATGGAACTTTTTTCATCTACAATTACCATTTACCTCCCGAGTTTAATATGATAGAAGTTTCTAACTTGCTCTGTACACGAAACACCATCTATAAGCAGTTAAACAGTATATTCCATATTCTAGTTTATGGAGTGATGCACCAGATGCTCCCTTGTAGAATAGAAGTCACCAAGCAGCAACCGAAGAAGGATTTAAAGAAAAAGTAATTTCAGAAAATGGCTTCGCAATATTTGATCTCTATCTATAGACCAACTAAAGCTAGCTTGATGTTTAGATTCCAAATGCACAACAAACTAGTCAATTTTCTGCTGTTTGGAACATTAGAACCATAATTCAAGCTTGTCCGTCTTGAGCCGAATCAGCAATTTCGGCGGCAACTTTCTTGTTGACCTTCGTCTTGCCCTTACCAGGAGATTTGCCATCTCCAGGAACTTCAGCAGTAAGCCTTCCCATTTTCTTCTGCAGATCGGCGAGCGAATCCTTAGGAACTTTCACTTTCGGACTTTTCTTTTGATTGACAAGCTTCAGCTCCAGTCTATATAAAGCAAAAGCATTACAGCCATAGATCTCATATTCAAACAAGTGCCATTCATATTTCCCAGCCGGTTGAGGGTCCATGTAGTATGACCTCTTCTGGCCCTCAAATTCCTTCATCACCTGCTTCCTTGATTCATGCCAACCACGTCCAGAGTAATCTGGTAACGACCTCTGCTTTCTGTTTCCACTCTCAAATGCCCTCCTAGGCTTATCAAAGAAGAGCCACTCCCTTATTATTTCACCCTCAAGTAAAGAAAGATCAAAAAGCTCTGCAATAAAGGGATGGCCTTTGTCATGGATAGCAAGAGAAAGGATAAAAGAGGGCATGCTTTTTATTGTCAAAATCAAATACACATGCCAAAATTGCCTAAAGAAAAGTGGTACAGAGAAACCAGGCACTCTATTTCAGATAAGTAGCCACAAACCACATTATCTACCATACTTCCAAGATAAACAAGAATATTATTATTCTTATTTTATGTTTTACTGAGAGAGAGAGACATGTTATTTTACCTGTAGCATTCCAAGGTGATTTCATGGTAGCAGCACCTTCACATTGAGGAATGCCAACGTTCTTACCCTGTGCCTTTGCTCGAACTGCATCAAGTAGTAAATTATCCTTTAAGCTAATTCCACCAGGGCGTAGAATTGGAGTTGTGCCAGGGGGGTCTTCATTCACAGCTAGGGTAGCATGAAAACTGCTACAGTAGTCATGATACCAGTCAGATCCTTGGGCCGGCCTTGTACAATCCCAGAGAGCACACTTCGGCCCCATGAAAGCAGATGGTGGAGGAGAGATATTCGACAGTATGTTGGGGCTAGCATCCTTCACATAATCTTCAGTCGCATTGGCACCAATGGGAAGCCCATGGTCAAACTCTTGTTGTAAATCAAATGTATGATAATCCAATTGATAATTCATGTCAGCATTAGCTGAGGTAGAAACTTTACATAAATCAAACCCTTGAAATGATTGTTCTGGTGGCTCATGATTCACAAAATAGTCCTGACAAAGAAAATGTGTGCCAATTCCAGTCAAACTTCACGCAAAGGATCAGCATTAAACTACTGGAAACTAAAAAGAAACCAAATATGGCCACAAAACAAGAGAGGACTTGGGGGGGGGGGGGGGAGTGATGCAGACGTTGAAATAAAGAAAACACCAAAGCAACCATCACCTACTTTACTTCTAATATAAAATGATTAGAGTTAGGAGAAATAAATCAACATGCAATAGCTATTAGCTTAATACCAAAAAGAATATAATATAACTTTTCCTTAGATATGATGCACTTTGCACATGAAAAAGTAAAAATGGTCGCAGAAACACAATTAAGAAACACTCATACCAACCAAGTTCATATTCAACAATAATGGATTTATCAAATGAAATTACACTTGTGGCACCTAGACTTTCTAGTGTTTCACCAGTGTATGACAGCTCCATCCACCTTTACTTTATAAAGAACTATATAAATATATACTTATATATAGCAAACAATAAAGAAATATATTATATAGTAAACCAAAACATAAAAATTTGACATAAACTTTAGCTTATATATAATTTCCTTCCTTTTCAGTGTAATGGTGCTTTAGGAAGAAATATGGAGGGGAAAAAGTAAAACAAAAGAATTAATTCTTCTCCACATTAAAATCACAATGGGGGGAAAAGCTCTCACCTCTGGAAATAGAGGTAAATTACCCGGATTTAGGCTTTGATCATCAACCTCAGGCTTCAGCACTGGTGGTTCCTTTAATGCACTTGTGGCATCATCTTCTTCCTCGTAAATTTGCAACAATCGGTTTATATCATGAGAAAACGATCCAAGACTATCCTACATAAAGTTCACCAAAGTTGCTTCTTGTTTAGGCACAGAAAATCTATCTACTGAGTTCAAAACCAGAGTTTACGCCCCATTTTATTTATGGGTAGATTGATGCAAAGAGTTTAAATTAGCGTTGATAAAATAGAAGGAAACAAACCAATAAAGATGAGGCCTGGGATGGTGTGCAGAGCTCAGCTTTCCACTCACGAAGGTTCTGATAAACTTGCTCCTCTAACACTGCAACATCACCGGCTCGACCTTCCTTCCTAGCGGCTTGAAGACCGCTGAACTGTTCTTGGAGAAAATTTAGTCGGTTCTTGGCATTGTCCACCATCAATTGGTGACAGGCAGATGTACATTTGCTCTTTGATGAATTATTCTGCATTGTCCCTCTAACACCAAAACCCTATTAAACCAGAACGTTCAAATTTAGAAAAACCTAACAAATCCAAGAATTTCAATCCTTGAATCACCTCAGTACAATAACACATACATACAACACACATATATACACTTAAAGAAACAAAACAAAAAAATGAAAAAAACTGAACACAAACTTGTAATGGTGGGAGCATTAATTAAAAAAAAAAACCTCTTCCGTAGTGATTCCAAATCCACCGATTTCCACTGTTTCAATCCTACCCAAAACCCTAAAATATAACAAGTTTCCCCAAATTGAAGACGAACCCCCCCCCCCCCCCCCCCCCGCGGAGAAACTGAAAACAAAAGAGAAGCAAGTCAAAGGGATGACTTAAAGGAAAGAAAGAAACATGGGTTACACGTATGATCTCTCAAATAACATACACAAATTCCAACTTCAGAAGGAAAAAAATATTTAACAGAACAACAAGACTGGAAAAATAAAACAGGGAAAGGGAAGAAATAATATTTACCTAAAGAGGAGATTGAAGAGACTTTGGTTTGAATGAAGAGGAATGATATAGGTTAAAAGGTTACATGCAATTGCAAAAGGAGGGTGAAACTGAAGGGCAGTGAGGGTCCAGCGGAGTCTCCAGATAAGCAAAGGCAACCGCGACAAAAGGGCAAAAAAGTCTTAACTGTTTATATTTATCCACATGACACGAGAAACTCTTTCCAGCTTTTCTTCTCAGGTTATCAATCAATTCAATTTAGTCCAGTTGATTTGCAATTTATTGATATATATTATTTTACCAAAATTGACGTGATACTTTGAGTTTCGATATATTTAATTTTAAATATCTTATCTTTAAAAAAATTACTTTTGTGTATTAAATAAATTCCTTTTATCAATTCATTAGTATCTGAATATTTATATATATGTCAAAACTAAACATGTCATTTATATTCAATATTTTATTTTATTTTACAATGACTAAGCTAAACACAATTCAGTACACAACATCAATCCATCGTGAACTTTAGGTGTAAGGGAATGTTAATCTTTTTTAAGTAATTTAAATTTGAACAACATAATTTATACATATATAAAAGTTTAATTAAATTTAAAATTATTTTATTGGGGGTGAAAGTATTAGTAGTGCTAGTAAGATTGAATTATTAGATGTTTTGAGTTCGATCAATTCATGGACCAATATAAAATTTAATGAGAAAGGAACTTATTTAATTTCCAACGTTGGTGTGACTTATCGTCGGTGTAAACAAATTCAGAGTTTGAAAATTACAGGCTTTTAAAATTTGGTTTTAGTTTTAAACTCGTTAAAGAGAATGATATTTTTCTTAAGTCTTGAGTTCAAATATTTATATTTGTAGGATGTGCGTTATTAATGATTATAAAAGATTATAAAAAAATATTACTTTGTAATTACTTCATATTATTAAAAAAATGGTTCAAATTTTAAGTTTTGTTTGGTATTTGATTTAGAGAATTTGTTGATAATGTCCTGAAAATTAAAAAGGTGTTCATTTAAATTCTTAGCAATTAATCTGGAAAATATAAAAAATATTGATGGTATTTTCAATTATAGATCAAACTAATAAAAAACATATAAACAATGATGATTAAATGTATTATTATGTTAATTATTTAAGAATCGCATCATTTTCTCACTAAAAATTTCAGTGCATAATAATTAAAATAATAATAATAACTTCTATTAAATAATAATAATTTATTCCTATAATTAAGCATATACGTTAAGTCCAAATAAAAAGAAACCCATATATGGTCCCTAGGGCCTAGAGTTGGCACTATGACCCTTCCTATTGCCAAGCTCTAAGACAAGCTTGGATGTTTTCTGAAGCACACCAGAGAACCAAGTAGCACCAACCGCAACATAGTTAGTACTCTTGATCCTGTTCGGCAAGTCTCTCGCCGCCTCCTCCGCCGCCAAAATTGCCTCATCAGCCGCACACACTGCCACCCTGGTTTTGTCCATCACCATTCGACTTTTCTCCGATAATTTGAACTTGTGTTCGAGTGCATCTCTCGACCGGTTCAACGCTTTAACCCCTTCGGAAGCTATCGCATCCGCCACGGCTCGAATGCTTCCTCGGGTCTTCTAAATATAGAGAGTCGAATGCATAAAGACTCAAATAAACACAGTTACCTTCTTTGGCCCTATGGAAAGGAAGTTACCTCGGAAACAATAGGAATTGTTCTATATGAGACCGGAGGATCCGCAGCATCATTCTTCGGCAGAACTCGAATTTGTCGGCCTGCAAAAATAGCATTCTGCAAACCGAGTGCCATGCCACACACGATCAAATACAAAACGAATGAAAGTATGAATGTAATTATTTTCTTACATTAAGGAGAAGAGCTGTTTGATAAGCATATGGCTGCCTAAAAGATATCAGAGCTGACTGTGATTGGTCTCTATTCCCACTGCGCAAACAAACAAACAAAAAATAAAGATATGAAGAATTGATGAAGGTGGAGAAGTTTGAATGAATTACCCCAGAAGCTGGATTTTCTCGACATGGCCACAGTTAGAGAAATATGCATTGAGGTCTCCGAGAGTTACTGAAGAAGAAAGGTTGAGGACCAGAACAGTTAAATAAGGATTAGGCATTTCGATTTCAGTTTATGCCTGGTTATGGTCATGTTTACCATCTCCTCCTTTCTGCCAACAAAGGCCTAAAAGGACAGAACCAAGTTCTAGTTCCAGGGAGAATATAAAATTGAATATTGAAATTTCACTAGTGGGGGAATAAAGTCTGATTGATAAACACGAATTTATTCTCCTCTCATAAAACTTAAACCTGGCTTTTATTTATGTGTGAATGATCAGTATTACCTATCCATGTTCTCTAAACATGAAGCTAAGTGTGGGTATATATTCGATGTAAATAAGGGTGCTAACTAAGTTGAACAACTCGATAACAATTTAAATTTGATTAGGTTAAAATTCAATTAACACTTGATTTAAGTTAATTCGACTCACACTCGAACTCAACTTGACACCTTAACGTGTTGAGTAAAGCAAGGTCTCTACTCAATAAGTTCAAGAGTTAATTTTTTTTTAAAAATAATTAGGATGTTATTTATCTTATTTTAAGGATATGGTTGTAATATGTTAATTTGTTATATTTATGGATTGTTACTTTGAAGTTTAAACTTTGTAATTGCTTACGCATTATTTTGATAATTCTTAAACTAAATGAGTGTTTGCAAGATTGATACCCCTAAACCTAGACTTGAAAATTGATAAATTTTTAAGATTTAAAATATCAACTATATATTTGTAAGGTTTAAAATTCCAAGTTTTAAAGTAAATTTGAAATTCTAGATTTGATAAAGTTGAAGTTGAATGTATCCAGACTGAAACTCAGTTTTACTAATTTTAATTTAATAATTAAAACAAAAAATGTTTAATTTAAATTCAGGTTTTCAAATGGAGCTTTTGCCTTGGGGGTCAAGTGTGCTGCTCGGTTACCTTCCTTTTCAACTACAACAGTAAAAAGTAAGAGATAAGTCTCCCCTGATATATGTATACGTTGGCTGCCGATTTTGAAATGGAACATGGTTTCAAGGTTAAACTATAGAAATTATCATCTGAAGAAATCATAGTTTTTGTACGAGTTTGCACGCAAATTGTTCGGGCTTTGCTGCTGCTCATTGGAGTACCCCAAGTTCATTATATTCCCGTCATAGCTTCTTTCTTTATCGACATTCTGATGCCCTATTGGCTCCACACCTAGGAAATCGACCGTCTTCTTCTCGCCACCTTCCATGTACACTTCTCCTGACATATTTTCAGAATTTCCATTTTCTGCCTGTAGAAAATGAGTGTGGAACAACGCAGTCGGAGCAAGAGTATTGTGGGATCTTTTTGTTATATGTTTCTCCTCCCAGATAGGAGCCATTGGTATCGGCGCCATTCTTTTCTATGTTACTACCAATCATGGTAGAACCGTCCTGGACCGACACGGTTGAGGTGATGTTACTGGTGGAATATCCGGTGAAACCTCGGAGTAGTATCGCGGGGATTGTAGTGTCGCTGATCTTAGCACCCATTTCTGCAGCTTTCTGTAACAAGGCCGTTGCGGATGTATATGCGGACCCTATTGCAAGAATGGAAGTCAGGGATGTTCCTGGATTGAAATTTTGATTTAAGGTGCTGGACATGTTCATGATTCTGGCTGAATACAAAGACAATAGCCTCTGTGTATGGTTCATGTTCTCGTTAGAAATCGACAGCTTCGTCTTTGCATTGGCATCCGAGCATGAACCAGAACTAGGCATCGTCTCCGTTAATGCATCTCAGAAGGCTCTGTGTGTGACGAAGTTGTCCTTCCTGCGAATAACAAATGGATTGAAAAGAAGAAAAAAATTATAAAACCCTCTAATCACTTACGGAGTAACATGCTACATACCTCGAAAAGATCGAGCCACACTCGCAACGATATTCTCGGGTGCTACAGATCTTTGCGTGTGCCTTCCAATCTGACTGAACAGCGTATCGTTTAGAGCACTTATCACACTTCCATTTCTTTTCTCCATGCTTCCGGCAAAAGTGCTTCTTAATGCCGGTCAAGTAGCCTAGAGCCCGACTCGGGACATACATAAACCCTTTTCTTCACCTCAGTATTGACTATTTGTTCTTTGCTTTAGCTTCCAAGGCAAGTTATGTCCTCTCCTATGCAGCTGAAGGTTCTGGTCTCGTTGAAACCCTTTATGTCAAACTTCACATATGTACCTCTTGGTTGCCATTAGAGTCCTCGGTAACAGCGCTGCGACCTCCGCATCATGATCTGAAAATTTTCCGAATAGCGAAAATTAACTCAGTAATTAAAAATTAATGGAAGTATCTTAGTCAAAGGTAAAGATTGTAACACCCCAACCCGTATCCGACCCAGATCCGAGTCCGAGATGTCACATTGACTTTTTAAACTTTGACTCTTAAAGAAAATCATGAAAATTTTAAACTTTCATTAAAATAAAAGATGTTAATTCATACAAGTTGGACCAAAATAAACAAAATCAATCAGAGCATTAGTAATTCACAATTTCGTTACATGCCAACATACTATATACAACCAAATATCTACACTTAACTACAATTCTGATCTGACTTGTGAAAAGGAGAGTCTGACCTGTCTTGCTTCTCTTCACTTCTCTTCTCGCTTTCCAGAACCTACGTGTGAAACACTCACACGCTAAATCGATGACTTAGTGAGGCATAAAACATGCTAATCTGAACTCTCTATAATAAATAGTGCATGTATATTTCACAATTCATATAAAAATATAATACAAACATCATATATCAATTCATATAACCCCAATTATAAACATGTACACATATCATCATTATTCTAGTCACACTATTGTCATTATCACTATCATTATTCCATTTAGAACATATAACTAGAGTTTAATCTTTGAAGCACTTCATACTACACTTTTCACAAACCAAAACATATAACATCAAATAACATTTTTTTATATTATTTCTTTGTTTAGCCCATGTACACTTTTGAGAACTACAGGTATGTGTGAGTACATAGAGGTTGTGCACTATGCTGTCACCACAGCTCGTATAATTCCCACTAGGGGCACTGAATATTTGTCCCGAATGATCACTATGTCCCGAAGGACCACTGTTAATCCCTCGACTCTTGGCATATCAACTATACCCCTAGCTCTCATAATACATATCATGGGCATTATCCTTATATTATCATACATTCACTTAGTTCACTTACACATAGTTCACTTCCATATGATTCACATGTCACATATTCACTTATTCATATCACATAGACTCATAGCGTTTTATCATATTATTTACATTCTCTGACTTATTTCTAGTAATCATGTAATTACTGCACTTATTTTCATATAACTTATTGTCACCTAACTCATACATTACATATAGACATCTATATCACTTTCACATAGTTTATATCAACTTCCAAGTTCCTTTAATAACATATGTTCTATCATCTACTTTATGCTTCATTCTTTTGTATTCACTTGGATTACATAATCTATGTTATATTATAAACATATCCCACTTAATAGTATTTTATTTATATACTAATTTAGTTTATTTACTTAATTCCATTTCATATATTTCTTATAACCTTTTTACATATCTCTATAGTTCTTTAGCGTATATCTTATCTTATAGATGCGTACCATCACTTTGTATACAAATTTCCTAATTGATTTACTATTCCTATTTCATTCTATAGTTCAATCCTATTTAGTTTCCCTCATTCTCATTAACTCATCTAATTCTATTATACAATTCCTCATAATTGATCATACCACTATGTATTTATCCAACTTATGTTTCTATATAACTGTTACACATGTTTATCTAATTCCTATTGCATTTCATGAATTCACTTTCATCATATTCTCCTATTATTACATATTTTATATTATGACCATATCTTCAAATAATCTTATACTTCATTATCGTATGACTTATATTTTGTCCTATTATGACTCTTCATATACTTATATTCTCATTTCCATAAATTTCATAAATCTTATCACATAACTTATCTTTTAGATTCATATAATTTCATATCTATTATTATATTATCATATAACTTATGTAAACATATATATATATATATATTACTTATATCGGTTCCTATATCTTATCACTCTAACATATATTCATACAAATCATGCCACACATACAATAACATATTACCCATACACTCATAACAAACACATACTCATGGTCATGAATTCATGCATAATGCTATAGAAAATAGACTTGTCGTAAGTCTTATTTCCAACATCATATTATCTAATATGCACTCACCTTGGCCTCACTAAGTTTCAAATCCACTTAATTTTCTTACAATCGAATCTTAACTGATCCGTTCTGTAACTTGTTCGTACTCGATATCTACATAATTATACATCCAGATCAGTATTCTAATTGATATACTCAAATCTTTCATTCCTTAGACTAAAAGAAAGGTCTATTTCATTTCCCTTTGAAGTGCATCGGTACACACTATAGTGTATCGATGCATTCCTTATCGGGTGTATCGATGCATTCCTTATCGGGTGTATTGATGCACTACCTATGCATTGATACACAAATTACATTCGATGTTTTCATTTTAAGTGGTGCATCGATGCACTTCTTGTGCATTGATACACACTGGATAATTTCTGGAAATTTACCCTTGATGCATCGGTACATGTTAAATGTGTACCGATGCACACTAGCCCAGAATTCCAATTTATGCACGAAAATCACTTCCTTTTAGCTCAAATGTTTCATATTTCATCTCCTTTCTTATTCTTAACTTACATACTCATTCTTAAACTCATTTATTCTCATTTATCACATCTTTATCCTCAAAATCCTATCTTCCAAATGGAATTCAAGAATCATACCAAATTTATCATGTTATCCAAACTTAATTCTAACACCTATAACTTCTTATTCTTATAGATGACAAGTCAAATTCAACCTCCAAATTCATTTAAATCTTCTTATTCAAAATTTCACTTAAAAACTATATTTACTTATCTCCTAACATTCGTCTTTGAGTTTACTTATATTTGACTTCCTTAAGCTTTCTTACTATCCAAAGAATCGAAACCAACTTAGAATTCAAATAATAATCAACTAATAAAAACTCTCACCTTTGCCTTGAGCTCCCACGTATGAAGAAGAATGAGAAGATGAGGTTTCTGGAAGCTTGGATATTTCTTCCTCTCATCCACGTGGTTACTCCCTTAAAAAGGAAAGAATAAAAATCTTTCCTTGCCAAATAACCTTTTTACCCTTCATCTCTTTTCATATTTACCAATCAATCCTCTAGAATAAAATTCTCTATAAATTCCTTGAACTTTTAACTTATTTCGAAATCGAGCACAAAATTTTTAAAATTTGCAATTTAGTCATTGATCCTGATTTGGGATGTTACAAAGATATTGTACGCATGCTTGCCTAGATCCCTCGGAAGATATCGTTTCCTCTTTGAACCTATGGTGATAGGATGCTCAAGAGGATTCGGACTCTCAATAGACGGCTGCTAGACGACGGTGATGTGATGTCCATCTTCGAAACCCTGCAGAAAGTTTGACATTTTTAGCTGGACTTGACACTGATCATTGCAAACAGGCAGCTGTTATAATATATAAAATATGTAGCGGACAGAAAAATTTAATACCAACCACGATCGAAGACCATGGTCCATGTATTCATTCGGGTTTAGAATTCTCTGATATCAACCTCTTTCAATACATAAATCGTAAAACAGACACGAGAAATACAAAAATGAAAATGATAGGTGATGCCATTGACAAAGGAGAAATCCAAATAAAGAGACAGTTTTGCCTTGTGTTGAGATGGTATCGTATCTACCTGCTTCCATGATTGTGTTGTCATTCTTGATTGTTGTTTTGCCTTGACAATTTTGAATGAGCTTGAAATCACCTCCCTCCAAAAAAATAATTTGTTAATCATTCATAGAAGTGGTGATAGAGCATCTTAAATTCGTCAAGAAATTGTCTTTGGACATATCCATGGATTTAACTTTCACATTTCGGATTTAACAATGCTATTACTTTAAGAGACGCCAGCACCAGGGCAACTCAAACGGCTCTTGGGCACTCATTAACCGGAAATATTACTTTATTTATTACTTCCATGCAAATGGATGAAGTTCTGAGCTTTAGATCATATCAGCAGTTCTATTTGATAGAGGAGATGAAGAATCGGTGAAGAGAGGGAATAGAAAGGGAAAAAGGAAATGTTGGTGAAGAAGAAAACATATAATGAAAATTTTGAAGTTTGATTCAAATATTTAATGAGTAATTAAGATTTAATTGATAAAATATATAAATTTTGAAGATTAAAACTATTATTATATCAATTTATGTCCTATCTTATTATTAAGTATTATTTTTATTATGTATTAATTATATTTTCGTCTATAAATTCTCATCACACATACAGCACATGCCTATTTAACATGTATAGATCTAAGGAAAAGAAGGAAAAAAACTCTAGCGGCGGGTGGTGGTGTGATTAAACGTTTTACATTTACAAATAAAAAAAGTAACTTTGACCAAAAAGGCATGACATGAAGCACAAAAGAAGGCTTGGAAGCAGGACCATTTCTTCCCAAATCCAACAACCAAAGGAACCGGTACTTAAATACCACCAAAATAATTAAAATAGGCAAATCCATTACAGCAAAACCTTAAAACTAAACCAACACGTTCTTCTTCTTCTTTAATAATAACATAAGACGGAAGTTGTAGTAGAAATTTATCATTTCATTCATTTGTTATTGTGGAAGCTAGCTATTAAAAGAAGTAACCCGATGATGATGATGAAGATGAACCCAAATTAAATCCCTCAGTTACCGTATATCAGAAACCGATGGCATCATCAACTCGTAAGAGTTAAATCCCAGGTATGGTTCACTTACTCCTGAGTCAAACCGGAGAAGGCCCGAGTCACTCCACGCACCGTAAGTGTAAGTTATATCTGAACCAGCAACTCCAGATACGTAACAAGTGGAAAAGACATCGGGTGGCAAAGGTGGCAGATCACAGTCATCGCTGAACTGTTGAGAACCACTGTTTCCGGCTTCCATGACACCGGTAATGGGTGTGTAAAACAGTACTGAATCACTACTCTCTTGGTTCCACCTGTTTCCGACTGGTAATAATCCGGACGATTGATTGAAGAAAAGCTGGTTCTGGTTACTGTCCATTTGTTGGTGAAAAGGTGGATTAATAGGGAAAATCGACGACATGTTATGCTGTGTTTCGTCGGGGGAAATGATGGAGGTGACCGATGAGCCAACTGGCATGTCGGAATAAACGAAGTTTGTTCGAACCTTGGAGCCACGCATGGAGCGAGCGGCACGGTCGTAGGCTAAGGCAGCTTCCTCGGCAGTGTCGAACGTGCCTAGCCAATGCCTTTCTTTTGTGGAAGGGTCTCTTATCTCCGCTGCATATCTGCCCCATGGCCTCCTCCTTACTCCCAAGAATCTTATCTCTTGTTGCTGCTGCTGCTGAGGTTGCTGTTGCTTTCTTTTGTTTTTAGAAGAAGAAGAAGAAGGAGAGTTGGTTTTTGAGTTGTTGAAATCCATGAGGATAAAAATAACAGTCTTTGTAAAGGACAGTCTTTTTCTGTCTTTTTTATGATTAGATAGATAGAAAGAGAGGAAATTCTTGGTCTTGGGAATGGAACAGAGCAATAATACTTGGGGCTTGTTTATCATCCATTTGCATTTGTGTTTAAATAGGGGAGAAATTTTCAAATGCATCCATGGTTTTTTGTAATCCAAGATAATGAGTGAGAGCAAAGAACACTCTCTCCCATGCTAGCATAATGATCCTAGTGTGGGGCCTTGCTTCTGGTTGGACCCTCATAAGCTCCCATCAGCACAGTTGCCCTTCATTATGAATCACTCAACACAAAAGTCACTTTTTCCCCAATATTTGCGATGTTTGAGAACGAAATCTCTGCTCCTGCTGTTTGCACCACATGGATGAATTCGGCAAAGATATCAATCATATCGGTTGACCTGTAATCATGGTTTGATTAGAGACTATTCAGGTGATCTCATCATTCTTCTAACTGGTGTTCAATCATGTCCTTTGGACCATGAGTTTGAACATTCTGATATGATTTATCCTGCAAGAAAGTGCAATCATGGCTCATCACCGGCTTAATATAATTCTTATGATTGATTACTGCTGCTTGAACCAAATTTTTATTGACTTCCAATCATCAAAGTGGAGTCTATTACATCTCTCTTCAAAGATTCTGACATGAGTAATCATGTAAACGGAGTAATTAATAAGTCACTTGTATTCACGAGCCTGCATGACTCTGCGTATAACTTCATTAGAAAAAGCTTTACAAGCCGAATTTCCGTATCAAAATGATTGCCTAACGTATGATCACAATCCAAATATCATTGAACTGTCAGTACCTATCATTTCCACAGGTATAGACCTTTTTCCTTTGACAGAAAATACAACACAATCTACAAAAAAGTATAATCTATATATATATATATATTACGTGTAGTCCTCTAAACACGTAGAAAAGGTCATGTTGCCCTAAGACTAATGCAACTGAGCCTTTTTAGAAAATAAACAATAAATAATCTGAATATCATATAGTTCCAGCCATGTGCATCCAATTTAAGCAAAAATATAATGATACGTTCCACAATCTTTCTCAGCTTTTTTGAACCTAGAATATGAGCTTTTCTTTTCTTTATCACGCCTAAGTGAGGGTGTGTACTTATACATTTTAAAATTCGAATTTTTTTAAGTAATTATTTATTTTATGGATTGTACCTATTCTAAAATTTTATTTATTTTTATCTCATATACAAATGTTATGTTGTTAATATGTATATGTATCCAAAATTCGCATATATATATATATATATATACACGCTTTTAAATTTAGGTGCATCGATCCTTGTTGCACATTTGCATGTATATGAACACATTTCAAATGAAATGAAGGGGGAGGCATGTTGGGTTGCATGTGGAAAGGACACATAGGGCATGCTTTTTTGAATAAAACAATGCACTAGGAAGACCTATCTATTTACTTAGTAATTAATTAACATTGTCAGCATGCTTTGACCTGAATGGACCCACGTAAGATATTATACTAGTATTTTGCTTAATATAAGGTCATAATGTCTTTGCTCTTTATTAAAAGAATCATTTTTAACAAAAACTCCTTTGAAATGTATTATATTAGAATGACAAAATTATCATTCATTAACATTATAGATAAGGTTTGCGCCTTGTATTATTCATCCTTTTTCCTTTAAATTTATAATAATAAAATCAATTAATAAATGTCACTTTTATTATATATAAATATATTAATTCATTTAATAAAGAGTTGAAGTAACAAAACCATTTGTTAACAAATTGCTTATTATAAATAATATGTACAGGCATAAAAGTAAACTTTAAATCGGGAAATCGAGGTCTATGCATAAGTAAACCATGTGACTAACAAAGGAAATCCTTATAGCCGGCTTGAGGCTCTGAATATAATTTACTTGGATAAACAATCATTCCTATTAAAATGTGGAGTCACGTTGGATTTTACATTAGATGCTATAATAGCTGGGCTTTGATGCTATGGTACTAATACTGTAACACTTTAAACTCGATTTAGTTAGAAATTAGACTAAAGATATCATATTGGCTGATCAGAACTTAGTCGGAGTCTAACCAACATTAAATCAGACAATCAAATATCCAAACACTCATTTATGGACTCGATTTTACGTATTTCACACATCGTCATTTCTTAACATGGATTACCAAAACTTCATAAATCATCCAAATGGTCATATTTTTACACTAAACATGCTTAATTACTTTTATGAATATTCAAGGAATCAATAAAACTTCATTAATGCTCTATTTTAGCAATAATTAATACGAACACATATAAATATATGATATCATATGGATTCATCATTTGATATAATTGTATTTTTAATCTCTTAATTAGCATGAATCAAACGACTTCAGTAGTTAAAGGATTGTTGTTATCCCTCGAGATCTCGAGTTCAAGTACCACATATGCAATGGTATGAACGTTTAATGTCAAATGACTTAGAGAGATAATTGAGACATACACTAAACATAATATGACATCCTAACCCTAAACCCAACCCGGTCTTATCTTTAAAATAACTCGACTTGACTCGACATAAGCCTAAATTTTCAACAACAAAAAAGTTGATCCTATAAAGTCGAGTCAGGTTGAAATTCGTCAGGTCCGAGTCTCATGGCCATCCCTAAAAATTTTATAGCCATTTCATTTGTGCAAAGGTACGAAATCATATCGATACATTTACTTTAAATCAATTTGATAATCTACTTAAATCAATTTGATAATCTATAGATATTTGGATCTCACATTCTCGTCAAATATTGATACGTTAAAATGCAATAGTCATCCATCCTCTTCTCCAGGACACATAGTCATAATAATCAACATCTCTCCTACTCATCAAGATCGAAGTTATAAAACTCACACACAAGCGTTATAAATTTTATGACATGTCAATTGTACCTAGAACTAAACTAATAATCAATGACTCATTGTTCATAATATCAAAGTATCAAAATTGACTATTTTTCATTTAACTCGATTTTCACCCATGGAACATGGTAATTCACACATTTACACATATATACCATTTTTATTCATCAATTTCATATGCTAACATGCTCAACATAACTCAATAGCAAAATTTCATATCGAATCATACAAAGACGTGCATTTTCAAATCATATGCTAAACATCTGCATGGTTTAGAGCCATTATCATAAATTTAAAATTTAAGCTCATTAACCTACACAACCAAATATCAAAACAAACATACAAATAAAATAGAATTTGATATCAACTGCAGTCACCTAATTCTTATTTTTAACCCATATATATATATATATCGTTATTGTATTATGCATAAATTACTACATTAGTTTATCAATCTGACCCATATGGAAACAGACAATTTTACCTAAAAATATTAAAAGAAAAAGGGCAATCTCAACTCAATGAACATAATGGATTGGTATGAAGTATTTTCCAATAGGGAAAAGTGCGTATCCCGGGCTAGAAATGCTGACTTTTTGGACCCTCGTTTTAGTGTTTATCCTCTGGCAAAATCTGATTCCCACCAAAGTGACACAGCAATAGGTCAAAAATCTTCAAAGACTTTTGAGTAAACACAATGTGTATTTTATTACAAGGGGCACCAAAATTAATGTAAAAATGCCTTGGGATATGAAGAAAGAGCATGCATGCACTATCTTCTCACCCACCTTTGTTCATTTGTCTTCCATTTTCCAATTTAACCTCTTTCCCTCTCACTAAACTTCTTGGTTTCCGGAGCCCATTAGCTTTCTTATTTTGTCTCCATATGTCAATTTTCATTATCAACGTAACTCATAAAAAGCAAATAGAATAATGCTTTGTCTATTTGTGGGATATTCAGAGATGGGAGACTAGCCAGAATGAGTTTGCTTTGACTCAGAAACTACCATTTCCCTTATAACAACAAGTTGGGTCATTTTATAGTGTAGGATTTTGGTAAAATAGTACAATGTAAACAAGTTGTCATATGAAAATGAAAATGATAGGTGATGCCATTGACAAAGGAGAAATCCAAATAAAGAGACAGTTTTGCCTTGTGTTGAGATGGTATCGTATCTACCTGCTTCCATGATTGTGTTTGTCATTCTTGATTGTTGTTTTGCCTTGACAATTGATTTGAATGAGCTTGAAATCACCTCCCTCCAAAAAAAATAATTTGTTAATCATTCATAGAAGTGGTGATAGAGCATCTTAAATTCGTTGTTCATATAAAATTCGTCAAGAAATTGTCTTTGGACATATCCATGGATTTAACTTTCACATTTCGGATTTAACAATGCTATTACTTTAAGAGACGCCAGCACCAGGGCAACTCAAACGGCTCTTGGGCACTCATTAACCGGAAATATTACTTTATTTATTACTTCCATGCAAATGGATGAAGTTCTGAGCTTTAGATCATATCAGCAGTTCTATTTGATAGAGGAGATGAAGAATCGGTGAAGAGAGGGAATAGAAAGGGAAAAAGGAAATGTTGGTGAAGAAGAAAACATATAATGAAAATTTTGAAGTTTGATTCAAATATTTAATGAGTAATTAAGATTTAATTGATAAAATATATAAATTTTGAAGATTAAAACTATTATTATATCAATTTATGTCCTATCTTATTATTAAATATTATTTTTTATTATGTATTAATTATATTTTCGTCTATAAATTCTCATCACACATACAGCACATGCCTATTTAACATGTATAGATCTAAGGAAAAGAAGGAAAAAAACTCTAGCGGCGGGTGGTGGTGTGATTAAACGTTTTACATTTACAAATAAAAAAAGTAACTTTGACCAAAAAGGCATGACATGAAGCACAAAAGAAGGCTTGGAAGCAGGACCATTTCTTCCCAAATCCAACAACCAAAGGAACCGGTACTTAAATACCACCAAAATAATTAAAATAGGCAAATCCATTACAGCAAAACCTTAAAACTAAACCAACACGTTCTTCTTCTTCTTTAATAATAACATAAGACGGAAGTTGTAGTAGAAATTTATCATTTCATTCATTTGTTATTGTGGAAGCTAGCTATTAAAAGAAGTAACCCGATGATGATGATGAAGATGAACCCAAATTAAATCCCTCAGTTACCGTATATCAGAAACCGATGGCATCATCAACTCGTAAGCGTTAAATCCCAGGTATGGTTCACTTACTCCTGAGTCAAACCGGAGAAGGCCCGAGTCACTCCACGCACCGTAAGTGTAAGTTATATCTGAACCAGCAACTCCAGATACGTAACAAGTGGAAAAGACATCGGGTGGCAAAGGTGGCAGATCACAGTCATCGCTGAACTGTTGCGAACCACTGTTTCCGGCTTCCATGACACCGGTAATGGGTGTGTAAAACAGTACTGAATCACTACTCTCTTGGTTCCACCTGTTTCCAACTGGTAATAATCCGGACGATTGATTGAAGAAAAGCTGGTTCTGGTTACTGTCCATTTGTTGGTGAAAAGGTGGATTAATAGGGAAAATCGACGACATGTTATGCTGTGTTTCGTCGGGGGGAAATGATGGAGGTGACCGATGAGCCAACTGGCATGTCGGAATAAACGAAGTTTGTTCGAACCTTGGAGCCACGCATGGAGCGAGCGGCACGGTCGTAGGCTAAGGCAGCTTCCTCGGCAGTGTCGAACGTGCCTAGCCAATGCCTTTCTTTTGTGGAAGGGTCTCTTATCTCCGCTGCATATCTGCCCCATGGCCTCCTCCTTACTCCCAAGAATCTTATCTCTTGTTGCTGCTGCTGCTGAGGTTGCTGTTGCTTTCTTTTGTTTTTAGAAGAAGAAGAAGAAGGAGAGTTGGTTTTTGAGTTGTTGAAATCCATGAGGATAAAAATAACAGTCTTTGTAAAGGACAGTCTTTTTCTGTCTTTTTTATGATTAGATAGATAGAAAGAGAGGAAATTCTTGGTCTTGGGAATGGAACAGAGCAATAATACTTGGGGCTTGTTTATCATCCATTTGCATTTGTGTTTAAATAGGGGAGAAATTTTCAAATGCATCCATGGTTTTTTGTAATCCAAGATAATGAGTGAGAGCAAAGAACACTCTCTCCCATGCTAGCATAATGATCCTAGTGTGGGGCCTTGCTTCTGGTTGGACCCTCATAAGCTCCCATCAGCACAGTTGCCCTTCATTATGAATCACTCAACACAAAAGTCACTTTTCCCCCAATATTTGCGATGTTTGAGAACGAAATCTCTGCTCCTGCTGTTTGCACCACATGGATGAATTCGGAAAAGATATCAACCTCCAAATTTCAAGTCAAATTCAACCTCCAAATTCAACCTCCAAATTCATTTAAATCTTCTTATTCAAAATTTCACTTAAAAACTCTATTTACTTAATCTCTCCTAACATCTTCGTCTTTGAGTTTTTACTTATCTTTAGACTTCCTTAAGCTTTCTTACTATCCAAAGAATCGAAAACCAACTTAGAATTCAAATAATAATCAACTAATAAAAACTCTCACCTTTGCCTTGAGCTCCCACGTATGAAGAAGAAGGAGAAGAGGAGGTTTCTGGAAGCTTGGATATTTCTTCCTCTCATCCACGTGGTTACTCTCTTAAAAAGGAAAGAATAAAAATCTTTCCTTGACAAATAACCTTTTTACCCTTCATCTCTTTTCATATTTACCAATCAATCCTTTAGAATAAAATTCTCTATAAATTCCTTGAACTTTTAACTTATTTCGAAATCGAGCACAAAATTTTCAAAATTTGCAATTTAGTCATTGATCCTGATTTGGGATGTTACAAAGATACTGTACGCATGCTTGCCTAGAACCCTCGGAAGATATCGTTTCCTCTTTGAACCTATGGTGATAGGATGCTCAAGAGGATTCGGACTCTCAATAGACGGCTGCGAGACGACGGTGTTGTGATGTCCATCTTCGAAACCCTGCAGAAAGTTTGACATTTTTAGCTGGACTTGACACTGATCATTGCAAACAGGCAGCTGTTATAATATATGATAAGATATGTAGCGGACAGAAAGAAGAAAAATTTAATACCAACCACGATCGAAGACCATGGTCCATGTATTCATTCGGGCTTAGAATTCTCTGATATCAACCTCTTTCAATACATAAATCGTAAAACAGACACGAGAAATAACAAAAATGAAAATGATAGGTGATGCCATTGACAAAGGAGAAATCCAAATAAAGAGACAGTTTTGCCTTGTGTTGAGATGGTATCGTATCTACCTGCTTCCATGATTGTGTTTGTCATTCTTGATTGTTGTTTTGCCTTGACAATTGATTTGAATGAGCTTGAAATCACCTCCCTCAAAAAAAAAAAAATTGTTAATCATTCATAGAAGTGGCAGGCATTGAAAGGGTCTTGATTGAAGAAAAGCTGGTTCTGGTTACTGTCCATTTGTTGGTGAAAAGGTGGATTAATAGGGAAAATCGACGACATGTTATGCTGTGTTTCGTCGGGGGAAATGATGGAGGTGACCGATGAGCCAACTGGCATGTCGGAATAAACGAAGTTTGTTCGAACCTTGGAGCCACGCATGGAGCGAGCGGCACGGTCGTAGGCTAAGGCAGCTTCCTCGGCATTGTCGAACGTGCCTAGCCAATGCCTTTCTTTTGTGGAAGGGTCTCTTATCTCCGCTGCATATCTGCCCCATGGCCTCCTCCTTACTCCCAAGAATCTTATCTCTTGTTGCTGCTGCTGCTGAGGTTGCTGTTGCTTTCTTTTGTTTTTAGAAGAAGAAGAAGGAGAGTTGGTTTTTGAGTTGTTGAAATCCATGAGGATAAAAATAACAGTCTTTGTAAAGGACAGTCTTTTTCTAGTTTCAGTGTTTGTCTCTCTGGGACTTTAAAGGACAGTCTTTTTCTGTCTTTTTTATGATTAGATAGATAGAAAGAGAGGAAATTCTTGGTCTTGGGAATGGAACAGAGCAATAATACTTGGGGCTTGTTTATCATCCATTTGCATTTGTGTTTAAATAGGGGAGAAATTTTCAAATGCATCCATGGTTTTTTGTAATCCAAGATAATGAGTGAGAGCAAAGAACACTCTCTCCCATGCTAGCATAATGATCCTAGTGTGGGGCCTTGCTTCTGGTTGGACTCTCATAAGCTCCCATCAGCACAGTTGCCCTTCATTATGAATCACTCAACACAAAAGTCACTTTTTCCCCAATATTTGCGATGTTTGAGAACGAAATCTCTGCTCCTGCTGTTTGCACCACATGGATGAATTCGGAAAAGATATCAATCATATCGGTTGACCTGTAATCATGGGTTTGATTAGAGACTATTCAGGTGATCTCATCATTCTTCTACCTGGTGTTCAATCATGTCCTTTGGACCATGAGTTTGAACATTCTGATATGATTTATCCTGCAAGAAAGTGCAATCATGGCTCATCACCGGCTTAATATAATTCTTATGATTGATTACTGCTGCTTGAACCAAATTTTCATTGACTTCCAATCATCAAAGTGGAGTCTATTACATCTCTCTTCAAAGATTCTGACATGAGTAATCATGTAAACGGAGTAATTAATAAGTCACTTGTATTCACGAGCCTGCATGACTCTGCGTATAACTTCATTAGAAAAAGCTTTACAAGCCGAATTTCCGTATCAAAATGATTGCCTAACGTATGATCACAATCCAAATATCATTGAACTGTCAGTACCTATCATTTCCACAGGTATAGACCTTTTTCTTTTGACAGAAAATACAACACAATCTACAAAAAAGTATAATCTATATATATATATATATATTACGTGTAGTCCTCTAAACACGTAGAAAAGGTCATGTTGCCCTAAGACTAATGCAACTGAACCTTTTTAGAAAATAAACAATAAATAATCTGAATATCATATAATGATACGTTCCACAATCTTTCTCAGCTTTTTTGAACCTAGAATATGAGCTTTTCTTTTCTTTATCACGCCTAAGTGAGGGTGTGTACTTATACATTTTAAAATTCGAATTTTTTCAAGTAATTATTTATTTTATGGATTGTACCTATTCTAAAATTTTATTTATTTTTATCTCATATACAAATGTTATGTTGTTAATATGTATATACCCAAAATTCGCCATATATATATATATATATATATATATATATATATATATATATATATATATATATATATATACACGCTCTTAAATTTACGTGCATCGATTCTTGTTGCACATTTGCATGTATATGAACACATTTCAAATGAAATGAAGGGGGAGGCATGTTGGGTTGCATGTGGAAAGGACACATAGGGCATGCTTTTTTGAATAAAACAATGCACTAGGAAGACCTATCTATTTACTTAGTAATTAATTAACATTGTCAGCATGCTTTGACCTGAATGGACCCACGTAAGATATTATACTAGTATTTTGCTTAATATAAGGTCATAATGTCTTTGCTCTTTATTAAAAGAATCATTTTTAACAAAAACTCCTTTGAAATGTATTATATTAGAATGACAAAATTATCATTCATTAACATTATAGATAAGGTTTGCGCCTTGTATTATTCATCCTTTTTCCTTTAAATTTATAATAATAAAATCAATTAATAAATGTCACTTTTATTATATATAAATATATTAATTCATTTAATAAAGAGTTGAAGTAACAAAACCATTTGTTCACAAATTGCTTATTATAAATAATATGTACAGGCATAAAAGTAAACTTTAAATCGGGAAATCGAGGTCTATGCATAAGTAAACCATGTGACTAACAAAGGAAATCCTTATAGCCGGCTTGAGGCACTGAATATAATTTACTTGGATAAACAATCATTCCTATTAAAATGTGGAGTCACGTTGGATTTTACATTAGATGCTATAATAGCTGGGCTTTGATGCTATGGTACTAATACTGTAACACTTTAAACTCGATTTAGTTAGAAATTAGACTAAAGATATCATATTGGCTGATCAGAACTTAGTCGGAGTCTAACCAACATTAAATCAGACAATCAAATATCCAAACACTCATTTATGGACTCGATTTTACGTATTTCACACATCGTCATTTCTTAACATGGATTACCAAAACTTCATAAATCATCCAAATGGTTATATTTTTACACTAAACATGCTTAATTACTTTTATGAATATTCAAGGAATCAATAAAACTTCATTAATGCTCTATTTTAGCAATAATTAATACGAACACATATAAATATATGATATCATATGGATTCATCATTTGATATAATTGTATTTTTAATCTCTTAATTAGCATGAATCAAACGACTTCAGTAGTTAAAGGATTGTTGTTATCCCTCGAGGTCTCGAGTTCAAGTACCACATATGCAAGGGTATGAACGTTTAATGTCAAATGACTTAGAGAGATAATTGAGACATACACTAAACATAATATGACATCCTAACCCTAAACCCAACCCGGTCTTATCTTTAAAATAACTCGACTTGACTCGACATAAGCCTAAATTTTCAACAACAAAAAAGTTGATCCTATAAAGTCGAGTCAGGTTGAAATTCGTCAGGTCCGAGTCTCATGGCCATCCCTAAAAATTTTATAGCCATTTCATTTGTGCAAAGGTACGAAATCATATCGATACATTTACTTTAAATCAATTTGATAATCTATAGATATTTGGATCTCACATTCTCGTCAAATATTGATACGTTAAAATGCAATATTCATCCATCCTCTTCTCCAGGACACATAGTCATAATAATCAACATATCTCCTACTCATCAAGATCGAAGTTATAAAACTCACACACAAGCGTTATAAATTTTATGACATGTCAATTGTACCTAGAACTAAACTAATAATCAATGACTCATTGTTCATAATATCAAAGTATCAAAATTGACTATTTTTCATTTAACTCGATTTTCACCCATGGAACATGGTAATTCACACATTTACACATATATACCATTTTTATTCATCAATTTCATATGCTAACATGCTCAACATAACTCAATAGCAAAATTTCATATCGAATCATACAAAGACGTGCATTTTCAAATCATATGCTAAACATCTGCATGATTTAGAGCCATTATCATAAATTTAAAATTTTAAGCTCATTAACCTACACAACCAAATATCAAAACAAACATACAAATAAAATAGAATTTGATATCAACTGCAGTCACCTAATTCTTATTTTTAACCCATATATATATATATCGTTATTGTATTATGCATAAATTACTACATTAGTTTATCAATCTGACCCATATGGAAACAGACAATTTTACCTAAAAATATTAAAGGAAAAAAGGCAATCCCAACTCAATGAACATAATGGATTGGTATGAAGTATTTTCCAATAGGGAAAAGTGCGTATCCCGGGCTAGAAATGCTGACTTTTTGGACCCTCGTTTTAGTGTTTATCCTCTGGCAAAATCTGATTCCCACCAAAGTGACACAGCAATAGGTCAAAAATCTTCAAAGACTTTTGAGTAAACACAATGTGTATTTTATTACAAGGGGCACCAAAATTAATGTAAAAATGCCTTGGGATATGAAGAAAGAGCATGCATGCACTCTCTTCTCACCCACCTTTGTTCATTTGTCTTCCATTTTCCAATTTAACCTCTTTCCCTCTCACTAAACTTCTTGGTTTCCGGAGCCCATTAGCTTTCTTATTTTGTCTCCATATGTCAATTTTCATTATCAACGTAACTCATAAAAAGCAAATAGATTAATGCTTTGTCTATTTGTGGGATATTCAGAGATGGGAGACTAGCCAGAATGAGTTTGCTTTGACTCAGAAACTACCATTTCCCTTATAACAACAAGTTGGGTCATTTTATAGTGTAGGATTTTGATAAAATAGTATAATGTAAACAAGTTGTCATATGAGATTCAAATTTGGGAAAAAAGATTTATATATCAATCTTGGTCTTTATTTAAATTGAGTAATAAAGGGTAAAATTCATACATGCATGCATTATTGTATTTGTTTGGCTCAGTTTGAATTTCAATATTGTAGATGTTAGTATATTTTTTCTTAACATAGTATTTATATTACTTAGATCCTTTTCTACTTATAAATCAGAGAATATCATTCACCTAAATACGTTTAAACCTATATACTTTAATAGGTTACAATAATAATAATGTCAATCCAACTAATACTCGATTAAATCGCAGTTGTTGATATGATTTAATGGAAAATAGACCATTGTTATTTATCAATTGAATATTGGGCCATAACCCTTTGCAGAAAAAGCCCACTAACCTTTCATAAAAAAATGGGGGGAAAATATCAAGGATCGTCAGTCACCGAGTGGACTAAGATGGAGCCAAATTGTCATTGGCGACCCATTTTGTTCACCACAAACGGACGAAGAAATTTACCCTATACATAGGCACTTTCGTAATCACTTGAAACGACAAGCTATGTCGCACGGTACGGCAATCTAAAGTGGTTTCAAGTACCCGATATATCTTCAAGATGAATACGAGACGAATATGGTTTGGTTATGTATCAGAGACGTCTCACGTTGTATAATTAAAAAACTGAGTTAGTTGGAAAAATTTTCGGAAACGTATCAGTGATAGCGTTTCATCTTCATATGCATACTCATTTTTTTTTTAGTTTAACTTAAAAAGATTTGACTTTGAAGCTTAGAATATCAACTAACTTACGATGATTTTTCGATTGAATCTGAGTATTCCTAGGTTGAGATGCCTTCTTATATTTTTAGGTTGAGATGACGTCAGAAACTCAAGATATGTTTCTTTTAAAGAAGATAGTACAAGCAGAAAATTAGATATGAATCTAATACATA